ACAGTCTGCCTTATTTCATTATTGGCCATTCGAATACCGAAAGAACTACTGAATGACCGACCACCCAAACCTGGAGTGTGGCACTTATTAACCTTCTAAAAACCACAAACACCCTAACATTCTAAGCGGTCGACTAGGTGGTCGGCATTCATATGCATGAATACGTGGCGGCAGCCATCTTGGGATACGAATGCGGCCAGCTGTGTTTTGTCGTCGAGTGCATGGAACTAGAATCAGACACTCAATGGCACGAATACCGCTGGGACTTCCACTCTCCGTTAAGTTCGACTGGTATTGAACGAATGGAGCGCTGTTCAGTAGACACAATCTACCGAACCAACTAAACTCATTGCCTCTATACACGAACGGCTCCGTTCGACTATTTGAACGTATTTTGACTGTTCGAAATAGACTGGCCACACAGCCTAATTCTCTGGAACTATTTTGGGCATGAAACCATGCGTACGGTCGGTAAAAAAGAGGCTTCCAAGTAACTTTTGAACCCCTGAAGCTATCTGGGTGATTTTTAAGTATGTTGTTCCCCTGGATCGGGGCTATCAGGGGATGTATGTTTATGGGGTTATCATATGTTTTTGGGGAGTTTTCAAAAATGTGTTAAATCCTGTATTTTTGTCGTTTGGAGATAATTGAGTTGATACAGTAATTAACTCAATTATCTCCTAAGCAGAGGGGAGGGATTGTGTATCTTGTATGGGAGTGTCTCAATGTAAAACCCTGTTTTTATTGGTTTGTTCACCTTGTATCCCTGTGCCCAACAAGGTCCACCTGGGTGTCACCCTTGTTGGGAAACCTGCATAAAAGGCCAGTGTGCCTCCATTAAAATTCAGATCTTACTTCACCCTCAATCTAGAGTTTTGTCTCTTATTGGGGGAAACTGCTATAAAGCTATCACTGCTAACTCTTGTAAGAGCTTCTCTACTTGGCTGACTACCTGGAATGCTGTAATACCCCTCACACTTGGGAGACGGCAGCCTTCTGGTGGTGGAAACCCCTCTACTCATCGGGGTAACCGCTACAATACCTTTAACAGACGCTTTTCTTAAACAGGACCCTTTTCAACTCTTGCTAGTTCGTGCCTCTATTTGTTTGTCATCATTATTGAATTTGTTTGTTATAATCAGCAATACTATAATAATAATGATTATTATTATTATTATTACATATGCAGCAGCCCTGTGATACCTATGATATCTATTTCATATACAGTATTCATATATATGTGGCTCACATCATTAATATGCATATCAAGTCATTTCAGTGAGAGGAATTGAACATGAAGAGAGGGTAAAATGTTAAAAGGGAGTGGATCCATCAACATGGCTTTAACTCATGCCAGGCTGACTTATGATTACACAGGGCACCATAGTGAAAACCTAGGACAGTGGGACTGGGCCACATACAATAAAATACTACAAAATCCATTCACACTAAAGTACTTAGATAAAAATTCTAATGTTCTACTTAAAAAACTTTTTTTTTTTTTATAGTAGGATATATACATAATCCCAGGGGCAACCAAAATGTAAAATGCAAAAAAACCTCAAAACATTGATAAAATAAATTATTCCCCCCAATATACATAAAGGGAAACAAACAATATTAAACCAAACTATATAAACCCCAGGATTCTCAGAAATAGAAATGTAGTATTATAGTATTGTATTTCCACACCTAATTTAAATCGAGGTGGCTAAAAAATACAGTACTTTATCCTATCAAAGCATACTAGTACAGACCATATAACTTTAAAGGGACACTATAGTCACCATGACAATTACAGCTTATTAAGTGTTCTTGCATAGCAAGACCACTTAATGTTATCTCACATATATATTATTAAGTGTTCTTGCATAGCAAGACCACTTAATGTTATCTCACATATATATTATTATTAAGTGTTCTTGCATAGCAAGACCACTAATAATGTTATCTCACATATATTATTAAGTGTTCTTGCATAGCAAGACCACTTAATGTTATCTCACATATATATTATTATTATTATTATTATAGCAAAATTTGCCACCCTAACTCCTCCCACAGTTTTTACACTACATAGACCAAAATTTACCAAAACGTGCAGATTGTTCCCGATCGGATTGCTATTACTTTGTGGAACGTTTCGCCGAATGGTTCACGGAATATCGTCGTTCTTGTGGCGAAATTTGTCCCATAGGAATGAATGGCAAAGCTAGAGTGGGAGCTGGCAAAAGCTGAAAAATCAGGACATGATTTCTAAACTGCCACCACTCCCTTATTTTCAGGCCCACCTACACAAATCTTATATCAAAACGTTCAGCTATCCCTGCTGCCACTAAACATGTCAACGGCTAAGCCATAGTCCTGATAGTTTTCACACTATGACCATTTGTTTGCAACCAACGCCGTCCATTGACTTTCATTGAAACTTCACTCTGCAAATCTCAAATTTGAAGTGCAATTTCTAAACTGCGACTGTGCCTTCAATTTTAATACTTCAGAGACATACTATGCATCAAAATGTAGGTCTGGGTCTTGTGATTCTCACAATATAAAGCTCTTCACTGTAGGAGTTATAGTTTTTAAGATACGACCGTTTGAAGATGGCAACCGCCAAAATACTCTGACCTGTGTCAAGCTGCAGCAGCAAGTGATGTCATAGACAGGGCCTTTTGAACACCTGCTAATGTTTTTATAAATGTATGGTTTAATGTAACTGTGCAACAACGTTGCAATTAAATGTGCTATGTAAATGATAACAGTTACTCCGCCCACTCCAGTTGTAGACTACTGGTGGAGGCAAGAACACTTCACACAATTTCCCCAGAAATTGTAGCTTTTCTAGTTATTATTATTCTTATTCTTATTCTTATTATAGCAAAATTTGCCACCCTAACTCCTCCCACAGTTTTTACACTACATAGACAAAAAATTTACCAAAACGTGCAGATTGTTCCCGATCGGATTGCTATTACTTTGTGGAACGTTTCGCCGAATGGTTCACGGAATATCGTCGTTCTTGTGGCGAAATTTGTCCCATAGGAATGAATGGCAAAGCTAGAGTGGGAGCTGGCAAAAGCTGAAAAATCAGGACATGATTTCTAAACTGCCACCACTCCCTTATTTTCAGGCCCACCTACACAAATCTTATATCAAAACGTTCAGCTATCCCTGCTGCCACTAAACATGTCAACGGCTAAGCCGTAGTCCTGATAGTTTTCACAATATGACCATTTGTTTGCAACCAACGCCGTCCATTGACATTCATTGAAACTTCACTCTGCAAAGCCCAAATTTGAAGTGCAATTTCTAAACTGCGACTGTGCCTTCAATTTTAATACTTCAGAGACATACTATGCATCGAAATGTAGGTCTGGGTCCTGTGATTCTCACAATATAAAGCTCTTCGCTGTAGTATTTATAGTTTTTAAAATACGACCATTTGAAGATGGCAACCACCAAAATACTCTGACCTGTCAAGGCTGCAGCAGCAAGTGATGTCATAGACAGTGCCTTTTGAACACCTGCTAATGTTTTTATAAATGTATGGCTTAATGTAACTGTGCAACAACGTTGCAATTAAATGTGCTATATAAATGATAACAGTTACTCCTCCCACTCCAGTTGTAGACTACTGGTGGAGGCAAGAACACTTCACACAATTTCCCCAGAAATTGTAGCTTTTCTAGTTATTAAGTGTTCTTGCATAGCAAGACCACTTATTGTTATCTCACATATATATATTATTATTCTTATTATAGCCAAATTTGCCACCCTAACTCCTCCCACAGTTTTTACACTACATAGACAAAAATTTACCAAAACGTGCAGATTGTTCCCGATCGGATTGCTATTACTTTGTGGAACGTTTCGCCGAATGGTTCACGGAATATCGTCGTTCTTGTGGCGAAATTTGTCCCATAGGAATGAATGGCAAAGCTAGAGTGGAGCTGGCAAAAGCTGAAAAATCAGGACATGATTTCTAAACTGCCACCACTCCCTTATTTTCAGGCCCACCTACACAAATCTTATATCAAAACGTTCACCTATTCCTCCTGCCACTAAACATGTCAACGGCTAAGCCATAGTCCTGATAGTTTTCACAATATAATCATTTGTTTGCAACTAACGCCGTCCATTGACTTTCATTGAAACTTCACTCTGCAAAGCTCAAATTTGAAGTGCAATTTCTAAACTGCGACTGTGCCTTCAATTTTAATACTTCAGAGACATACCATGCATCAAAATGTAGGTCTGGGTCTTGTGATTCTCACAATATAAAGTTCTTCACTGTAGGAGTTATAGTTTTTAAGATACGACCGTTTGAAGATGGCAACCGCCAAAATACTCTGACCTGTGTCAAGCTGCAGCAGCAAGTGATGTCATAGACAGGGCCTTTTGAACACCTGCTAATGTTTTTATAAATGTATGGTTTAATGTAACTGTGCAACAACGTTGCAATTAAATGTGCTATGTAAATGATAATAGTTACTCCGCCCACTCCAGTTGTAGACTACAGGTGGAGGCAAGAACACTTCACACAATTTCCCAGAAATTGTAACTTTTCTAGTTATTATTATTCTTATTATAGCAAAATTTGCCACCCTAACTCCTCCCACAGTTTTTACACTACATAGACAAAAATTTACCAAAACGTGCAGATTGTTCCCGATCGGATTGCTATTACTTTGTGGAACGCTTCGTCGAATGGTTCACGGAATATCGTCGTTCTTGTGGCGAAATTTGTCCCATAGGAATGAATGGCAAAGCTAGAGTGGGAGCTGGCAAAAGCTGAAAAATCAGGACATGATTTCTAAACTGCCACCACTCCCTTATTTTCAGGCCCACCTACACAAATCTTATATCAAAACGTTCAGCTATCCCTGCTGCCACTAAACATGTCAACGGCTAAGCCATAGTCCTGATAGTTTTCACAATATAATCATTTGTTTGCAACTAACGCCGCCCATTGACTTTCATTGAAACTTCACTCTGCAAAGCTCAAATTTGAAGTGCAATTTCTAAACTGCGACTGTGCCTTCATTTTTAATACTTCAGAGACATACTATGCATCAAAATGTAGGTCTGGGTCTTGTGATTCTCACAATATAAAGCTATTCGCTGTAGGATCTATAGTTTTTAAAATACGACCGTTTGAAGATGGCAACCGCCAAAATACTCTGACCTGTGTCAAGTTGCAGCAGCAAGTGATGTCATAGACAGGGCCTTTTGAACACCTGCTAATGTTTTTATAAATGTATGGTTTAATGTAACTGTGCAACAACGTTGCAATTGAATGTGCTAGACTACTGGTGGAGGCAAGAACACTTCACACAATTTCCCCAGAAATTTTAGCTTTTCTAGTTATTATTATTAAGTGTTCTTGCATAGCAAGACCACTTAATGTTATCTCACATATATATTATTATTATTATTATTATTATTATTATAGCAAAATTTGCCACCCTAACTCCTCCCACAATTTTTACACTACATAGACAAAAATTTACCAAAACGTGCAGATTGTTCCCGATCGGATTGCTATTACTTTGTGGAACGTTTCGCCGAATGGTTCACGGAATATCGTCGTTCTTGTGGCGAAATTTGTCCCATAGGAATGAATGGCAAAGCTAGAGTGGGAGCTGGCAAAAGCTGAAAAATCAGGACATGATTTCTAAACTGCCACCACTCCCTTATTTTCAGGCCCACCTACACAAATCTTATATCAAAACGTTCAGCTATCCCTGCTGCCACTAAACATGTCAACGGCTAAGCTGTAGTCCTGATAGTTTTCACAATATAATCATTTGTTTGCAACTAATGCCGTCCATTGACTTTCATTGAAACTTCACTCTGCAAAGCTCAAATTTGAAGTGCAATTTCTAAACTGCGACTGTGCCTTCAATTTTAATACTTCAGAGACATACTATGCATCAAAATGTAGGTCTGGGACTTGTGATTCTCACAATATAAAGCTCTTTGGATTAATAGTTTTTATAATACGACCGTTTGACGATTGGAACCGCCAAAATACTCTGACCTGTGCAAGGCTGGAGCAGCAAGTGATGTCATACATACATGCCTTTTGTACACCTGCTAATGTTTTTATAAATTTATGTTTTAATGTAACTGTGAAGCACTTTGGGCAACAATGTTGCAATTAAATGTGCTCTATAAATAAATAAAAGTTCAAATGCATTTCTCACTCTATCAAGCTTGCCATGTGCACTTTTTAAATTTGATCAATCAATTGGTTAGTGTAATGTTTACTATTTTTACTCACTCCAAGCACTCCACACAGTTACTCTGTCCAGTCCAACCTTTCCACAGTTACTCCAGCCACTCCACCCAGTTACTCCGTCCACTCCAGTTGTAGACTACTGGTGGAGGCAAGAACACTTCACACAATTTCCCCAGAAATTGTAGCTTTTCTTGTTGTATTTGTTCTGGTGATTATAGTTAGTTCCTGCAGGCTTTTGCAGTAAACACTGTCTTTACATTACAGCATAGGGACACCTCCAGTGGCCACTCCTCAGATGGCTTCTAGAGGTACTTCCTGGGGTTGTGCTGCACTGTGTGCAGCACTGATGTCCAGTGTCTCCACCCTTTGCATGGAGACAATACACATTGATTCAATGCATCTCTGTAAGGAGATGCTGATTGGCCAGGTCAATGTTTGACTCTGCCCCCAGCTTGCCTCCTTGGCAATCTCCTATGGGAAAGCAAGGACTGACTGAGATTATCAGTTCTGATGATGTCAGGCAAGGAGGCAGAGCCAGCACCAGCAGACTGGAATAAAAGTAAGATTGTATTATATTTAGGGGGGCAAGTGAGGGGCTAGATAGTATTTTTAGGAATAGTGTTTAGGAATACATGTGTTTAGGAATACATCTTTGTGGTCCTGACTCTATAGTGTTCCTTTAGGGGTAAAGTCTGTGATATTGAGTAGATCAATCACAGATTTGAACAATTCACAGGAGAGTATCAACTTGCAAAAAATAAAAAAAGGAAAAAAACATACACAATCAAATGACACTAAAAAGTTATAAAACACCCCAAAAATTTTTTACTGCAATAAATACCATTAATGCATATAGTTCACGTGGTTGCCATAGCAGGAAAATGCACTGAGTCTCAATATTAGAATGTTCTCACAAATGTTTCTAATAGTTGTGGTAAATTGGGGACGCATTGTTGTATCTGTATGATATTGTGCAGATCCTCGGGAGGGCAGATGGACTACACACTCTGGAGCCTGGCTTCTCCCTTTAAAGGCCCTGGAGTGAGGCAATGGGGGCAGCATTATACATTGAGGGAAAAAAGTATTTGATCCCCTGCTGATTTTGAAACTTTGCCCACTGACAAAGAAATGATCAGTGTATAATTTTAATAGTAGGTGTATTTTAACAGTAAGAGACAGAATAACAAAAACTAAATCAGAAAAACGCATGTCAAAAAAATTATGAATTGATTTGCATGTCAATGAGAGAAATAAGTATTTGACCCTTTCAAATTAGTACATGGTGGCAAAATCCTTGTTGGCAATCACAGAGGTCAGACGTTTCTTGTAGTTGGTCATCAGGTTTGCACACATCTCAGGGATTTTGTCCCACTCCTCTTTGTAGATCCTCTCCAAGTCTTTAAGGTTTCGAGGCTGACGTTTTGCAACTCGAACATTCAGCTCAATCCACAGATTTTCTATGGGATTAAGGTATGGGATTAAGACTGGCTAGGTCACTCCAGGACCTTAATGTGCTTCTTCTTGAGTCACTCCTTTGTTGCCTTGGTTGTGTGTTTTTGGTAATTGTCATGCATGAATACCCATCCACGACTCATTTTAAATGCCCTGGTTGAGGGAGGAGGTTCTCACCCAAGATTTGACAGTACATGGCCCTGTCCATCATGCCTTTGATGTGATGCAGTTGTCCTGTCCCCTTAGCAGAAAAACACACCCAAAGCATAATGTTTCCACCTTCATGTTTGACGATTGGGGTCATATGCAGCATTCCTCCTCCTCCACACATGGCGAGTTGAGTTGATGCCAAAGAGCTTGATTTTGGTCTCATCTGACCACAACACATTCACCCAGTTCTTCTCTGAATCATTCAGATGTTCATTGGAAAATTTCAGACAGGCCTGTACATGTGCTTTCTTGAGCAGGGTGATCATGCGGGCGCTACAGGATTTCAGTCCTTCACTAAGCAGTGTGTTACCAATTGTTTGCTTGGTGACTATGGTCCTAGCTGCCTTGAGATCATTAACAAGATAATTCTGTGTAGTTCTTGGCTGATTTCTCACCATTCTCATGATCATTGAAACTCCACAAGGTGAGATCTTGCATGGAGCACCAGTCCGAGGGAGACTGACAGTTCTTTTGTGTTTCTTCCATTTGCAAATAATCACATAAACTGTTGTCACCTTCTCACCAAGCTGCTTGGCGATGGTCTTGTAGCCCATTCCAACCTTATGTAGGTCTACAATCTTGTCCCTGACATCCTTGGACAGCTCTTTGGTCTTGGCCATGGTGGAGAGTTTGGAATCTGATTGATTACTTCGGTGGACAGGTGTCTTTTATACAGATGACAAGCTGAGATTAGGAGCCCTCCCTTTAAGAGCGAGGTTCAATCACTAAGTTTTTTGTCATTTTTCTCCATAAAGACAGCACTACAAAAATCAATTATAAGAATAATAACAAAAAAGAAGAAAGAAAGAGGACTACAATAAGTCCTCAGTGGGAGAGTAATAGTTAAGGGGAAGGGGTCCCTACCTTTAATAATCCTAAGGGAAACACAGATTAAAAAGGACAGATAGGAGAGAGGAATATAAAATGGTGAACCACCTAGAGACAATTGCACAGAACAGGTGTCTACTATCAAAGAGAGACTGCCTGGTAATTTCTAACCTAAAGGTTGTACACATGCATCCTAAGTCTCATAGGTAACCAATCCAGGTGTATAGAGATGGCTAGTACACTTAGCCTGTATAAGGAGGTGAAAAAAACCCTCTATAGGAGGAGTAAAAAATACCCCAAGTGTCCCAAAAAGCAGACTCCCTATCAGTAGGAGGCTTCCTCTAATTACCTCGGCACTGTGTTGCCACAAGTGCCTACCCGGATACCTAGTCCCTATCCGTCCTAAAAATTACAAAGATTAAATAACTAAATCCATAGGTGCTACCAAAAAAAGGTGAACAAAAAGAAAATAATTAAATAAAATAAAATTAGCTCGACGCGCGTTTCGGCGTTTCAGCACGCCGTCGTCAGGAGCAATAAACTTTTAGAGTTCCCTGTATCCATTTAAATACCTTTTGTTACAATCAATTAAGATTGTGAGATGCTGTGTGTGATATCCTGCCGAAAATACTAGTTCCTCATTGGTCCAGTATCCAGCCAATGTGATCCCTTATCGGCCGCATCACGTGACGTCATGACGTGAATGGGGGGGGGGCCGTGATTTCGGGAACGGATGGAGCCCACGTGGGGGCAGTATGGGAGTGGTTAGGCTGCTGAATGACAGCAGTGCCCCATACTTGAGGGAAAAAAACCCTCTATTTGTGATCCGACGAGATAGAACTCTCGTTTTGAGGAGTGGAGTTATATATCTTGATGCCCAGAGCACGAAATAAGTGTCATGGGAGTATTATAATTTATACTAGTATGGGGGAGCAACTAAATGTTGCATAAATCCCTGAGCCATAATGTACAAGGGTAGATCAGCCGAAGGGCTAAATAATTACTGTATACTTCACGGGTTATATACTTGAGGTTTTGAAAGATGACATTTATGAATCAACTTAACTGTCATTGGGTCAATTGGATCACATATCCTTACTTAAATGATACTATGATCACTAGATCATAATACAAATTGATGGATTAACCAAAGGTATTTAATTAAGTGATAAATATGCATTTCAAAAGTCATATATATAAGAACTGATGGAGTATACTTATAAATCCATCCTCATGGATCGCGTAGTCCCATGTTTTATAAGGGAGAAAAGTAGGCAGACAGGAAGGATATGATGAATAAATCAGGATACTACATAAAAGATAATGTGATACGTGTAACATATATACAGTGCGATGTTTATATCCATATGAGGATTTGGTAGGTATTTCCCTGCTAATTATACATCCGAAGAAAAGAGAGTTAAAAGAAGAAAAAGTAATTAGAGGAAGGCTACGAATGAGAAACCCTCATTCAAGCCTGCAGGGGAGAGGGTCTTGAGTTTATAAATCCAGTAGGACTCACGCTGTCTCAATTTCCTATCCCAGTCCCCCTTCCTTTGAGTTTGTGGGATGTGTTCTATGCCCATAAACTTTAATTTGTTGGCAGAATTCAAATGATGAACTTTCAAATGACGTGATATTGGGGTTTCCAGAGGTCTTCTGACCGAATTGACGTGTTCCCTAATCCTTAATTTAAAAGGTCTGAAGGTTTTTCCCACATATTTAATACCGCACGAGCATGTGAGTAAATATATGACACCCTCTGTCTTACAGTTGAAGAATGAATGGACAGGGAAGGTTTTTTCGTTATTGCTGTCCGTGAATTCCTTGGATTTTTTATCAATAAATTCACAGGCGCTACAGCGTCCACATCTATAAGTCCCTTTAGGGAGATAGTTGCTAATCCCTCTTTTTAGAGGGGCTAGATGGCTCTGTACCAGTGTGTCACGTAGATTTTTTCCCCTCCGTGCTGTCACAGAGGGGAATGTAGTGATTACTTGTTTTACTTGTGGGTCAGAGGTCAAGATTGGCCAATAGCGTTTCAATACGCTCATCATAAAGTCCCATCCCGCATCATACGTGGCAATGCAGCGGATCAATTTTTGATCCTGATCTTGTACTTTTTCGTCAGTAAGAAGTGAATCACGTGCAGTACTGATTGCTCTAGCGTATGCTTTACGTAAAACTCTATTGGGGTAGCCTTTGTCCTTAAAGGCACGCCTGAGGTCCCAGGCTTTAATTTTAAAGTCCTCAATAGAGGAGCAATTACGCCTCAATCGTAAGTACTGTCCTATTGGTATACCTGCCTTGAGAGGTTGAGGGTGGTGGCTATGCCAGTTAAGGAGACTATTAGTGGCAGTTTGTTTTTTGAAAAGAGTTGTTGACACTCCATCTCCAGATTGGATGGTCACAGTTATATCTAAGAAGTTGAGTTGTTTTCCACCAATCTCACTGGTGAATCTTAGATTAAGATCATTTGTGTTTAGGAGACTTACAAATATTTCAAAGTCTTTCTTGCTCCCTGTCCATACAATTAGTACATCATCGATGTACCGTTTCCAGCATGATATCATCCCTATGAACCGGCGTAGGTGTGGGGCTGATCTTATATCTTTCTCCCAGGTACCTAAATAAAGATTTGCATAGGCGGGGGCACAGGATGTCCCCATCGCTGTCCCCCTTATCTGCTGGTAAATGGTACCGTTAAAAAGAAAAATGTTCTTTGTCAGAACTGTTCTGAGTATGTTAGAGATAAGATCTATATAAGCAGCTGGATATTGTAATTCTTGTTCAAGGATAACTTTGATGTTGTTAATTCCCTGTGTATGAGGTATTGAACTATACAATGACTCTACATCTAGACTGCATAGTAATGCTTGTTCTGGTATAAAAACATCCTTCAGAAAGTTCAACATCTGTTTCGTATCTCTTATATACGATGGTAACTTTGAGACAATAGGGGACAAAATCTTATCCAAATATATACTCAGGTTCTGAGTCAAATTTCCACATCCCGAGACAATCGGTCTGCCTGACGGGTTGTCGAGGGATTTATGGACTTTAGGTAGACTGTAAAAGGTTGAGAGTATAGGTTGTCTAACTAGCATGAATTCAAATTCATTTTTAGTGATGAGATTCTCTACTAGGGCTTGGCTCAGCATAGTTTTAATTTCGATAGAATATTGTACAGTGGGATCGTGATTTAGTACTTGGTAAGTCTCTTTGTCATTCAGTAGATGTTGTACCATCTGAACATATTTAGAGTGATCCATAAGGACTATATTTCCGCCCTTATCTGATGGTTTAATTACTAATTGATCGTTTTCCTTTAGTTGCTTCAATGCTAGTTTTTCTATTCTGCTAAGATTGCTAGTAGATTCTATACTCAGGGTACCTGTTTCAACTTTTTCGATTTCTCTACAGACCATATCTAGAAAGACCTCAATATTCTTATAATCTTTCAGATGTGGAGTGAAGTGACTCTTAGGTGCAAGTAGAGTGGTCGGGATATTGGTATCCTTGAAGTCATTGGAATCAAGGAGTGCGACTAGGGTCTCCAAGCAGTCCATATCCCTAATTGTCAGTCCCAAACTAGATGCTTTCAGTTCTTTCTTATGTGTGTGATACTTATGTAGGGCTAATTTTCGTGCGAACAGGTGCAAATCCTTAATCCTAAAGAATTTGTTAAAAGGGGGTGTAGGTACAAAGGATAGGCCTTTTGAGAGCGTTTTTAATTGCACATCCGTCAATCTGAATGAGGATAAATTAATTATCCTTAAATCTTTAGTTATTGACGGCGTTGTTGTCTTCTCTGGCCCCTGCCTCTCTGTGCTTGTCTCGTTCTGGGACGTTGAAGTTCGTCCGCCTGTCGCAGCCCTAAAAAATCTACACCTTTCCTCAATATACTTTTAGGTTCAGTTTGTGTAGGATTAGTAATTATGGTTTCCCCCTCATTATCAGTGGATTCGTATTCAGAGGTACTAAAGTGATCTGAATCAATTCTGACTTTCCTTTTTGTCTGTCGATAAACTCTCCCTGTCTCAAAATCTGTGGTATCTCTTATAAATTTATGGTGTTTTTTAATTTTAATTTGATAAGAGAATCTATCCAAATTAGTTTTCAATTTTACTTCTAAGTTTTGAAACTGGGGGTCATCTTTGAACTTTTGAATATTCTCTATCTCATTATCTAGAGTTTTTTGGATATTAGTCAGATGTATGGTCTCATATTTGCATATGATGGACATGAAGGTGGTAGAGCATCTTGCTGCTGCCTCCTCCCATTCTTGAGTGAAACCCTCTATTTCAATATTCCGTGATGGTGGAACTAAAACCCTAAGTCCCCTTGGGATAATCTTTTTAGAGATATATGTCTCAAGGGTTGAGATTTCCCAGCTAGTTTTTATTTGCTGTTTAAAGGTTTTTGTCAATTTATTGAAGCCACTTTGTATATCAACTGGGGGAAGAGCCTGTAGTGAGGAGTTAGTAGAGAAAATGGTGTCCGCATCCGAGCACCATTGTTTAGGATCTATTTTGTTAGTAAGGAAGCCAGCCATTAGTCCAATAGTGTGAATTCTAATTCTTAAATAGGTATTCTCTAGAGCAAGATGTGTATAGGGCTTAGTGGTGCATAACACCTAAATACAAAAAAGAGATAAGGAATAATAGTGACTCAGATTCAGAGGTCACAATACTTGACCAATGAATCAGTGCCAAAGAGCCCTAAGATTACTCTCCCTGATTGGGGAATAACCCACGAGGTTAGTATAAGAAAAAAGAAGAAAGAAAGAGGACTACAATAAGTCCTCAGTGGGAGAGTAATAGTTAAGGGGAAGGGGTCCCTACCTTTAATAATCCTAAGGGAAACACAGATTAAAAAGGACAGATAGGAGAGAGGAATATAAAATGGTGTTCTCTAGAGCAAGATGTGTATAGGGCTTAGTGGTGCATAACACCTAAATACAAAAAAGAGATAAGGAATAATAGTGACTCAGATTCAGAGGTCACAATACTTGACCAATGAATCAGTGCCAAAGAGCCCTAAGATTACTCTCCCTGATTGGGGAATAATAGAATAATAATAAGAATAATAACAGCACATATGTGTATGTAAATGTTAAATGCATATTACTATTCTTATTTGGTTTATCTGTTTCTGATAGTTTATTTAGAAATAAAGAAAAGTACATTTTCAAATGTACATTTTCTGTGAGAGCATTACCTGGTGTTGAAATATGGAAAGGAAATGACTGAATCCCTAAGCCAATGCACTAAACAGCAGGGTTTGAAGTGACTTTGAATGATCAGTATTTGATACAGAGAAAAGGCCATTCTAACAAGAAAGCTTTAATTGTTTTCTTTAGAACAATATTTCCATTCACAGTCAGTAACAATACATGGATTAACCCTTTGTTAAATATGTATAACGCATGTCAATATTTATTAGTTTGTTAAATATAGAATTCTAACATCTGAATATTCTAGATAATTACATAGTTACATAGTTACATAGTTACATAGCTGAAAAGAGACTTGCGTCCATCAAGTTCAGCCTTCCTCACATTTGTTTTTTGCTGTTGATCCAAAAGAAGGCAAAAAAACCCAGTTTGAAGCACAATTTTGCAACAAGCTAGGAAAAAAATTCCTTCTTGACCCCAGAATGGCAGTCAGATTTATCCTTGGATCAAGCAGTTATTACCCTACATTGAAAGATTATATCCTTGAATATTCTGTTTTTGCAAGTATGCATCTAATAGCTGTTTGAACATCTGTATGGACTCTGATAAAACCATTTCTTCAACTTCTTTTACTGTATATATATTTACTAAAAAGTTAAATTACCTTGTCGATTCTCCATATTTTCCAGTTTAGTGAATAAGTCTTATTGTGTAGGTGAGGAAGCTTTCAAGGTGCTAAATTATTGGACATCATTGCATGCAATTTCACATACATACCACATTTCAATCAAGTATATAATACTATTTCTCATTATTCAGTTTTGGCTATGATATGGTCAGATATTGAAAGAGGATCTCCAATCTTGTAGAAGTGTAAAATAAGCAACGTTCTCCTGTAGATCATAAATTGCACTTCCAATTATGTTGATACTTACCAAAATTGCTCCATGATTTTTATCTTATCGTAGCTAAAGAGGTATTTGGGGAATGTAAGCCTGCCAAACAGCCCAAATTTTAAAGTACAAGCAACACAATCTAGAAATATAAAAACACACAGAAACCAATAATAGTGTGGTATGTTAAAACACCACAATTGCGCTTGTGACAAATTGCACTCACAAGACAGTAGTAAGTTGCAGGCATATAGGAATCTTTAGGATTTGGAGGAGCTCAGTTTTTTTCCTTTTCAACCTCAATTAAACGATTGAGTGGGAGAGACGCAAACATAGTGCACCAATATAATAAATTAAGATTGCACTCACAAGATAGAAGTAAAAATCCAGCATAACAAACACTCAGTCTTTCCAGTGCCACGATCCCTTCTGTTCTAAGGGCAAGCTGTGTAGAAGCCAAAAAACCTTTAAACAAAGTTCAGCAAATAAAACAATTATATAAACAAAATAATACAATATAAGTAACAATTAGAAGTACTTTCTTGGTCTCTCTGCCCTACGCGTTTAGTCCTGAACAGGACTTCCTCAGGGGCTTTTGTGCAAGGCCCGAACATGAAGATACAGCTGCAAGCTAGTTATAGGTTAAGATGTTAAGATAAGATAGATGATTCTATTAGAGATTGGATAATGTTTGTAAATACCACACCTGATTCCTGCTGAATATAACCTGTTACACAGCCCAATAAACGTCAGAATTCACCTTGAACCTTACTTTGTCTTGTCTCGTTCGTTGGGGCTCCTCACCATATGGTTTGGAGAAAAGGAGAATTACAGAGAGTTGCAAATTGATACAAAAGACCATGGCAAGGGAAAAGGCCTGACAAAGAAAATTCCTCACTATCAGTTATTAATAATGCTTCCAAGTTTTGCTGGGAGTTGGTAAGTGAAAGAATTTCAGGCATCGAGGAGGTAGTTGCGGATGCACATACCAAAGCAGGTGAGATACATTATGTCTTTGAGTGTGCTCATCCATAATAATCTGTGTTGGTACCATCCATTTAGTATGAAAATTTAGTATAAATGTCTAGGCTGCAAAGTATCTGCAAAGAGAGTGAAAAAGAAGGTACATTCATGTTAATAAGAATGACATCTATAAAAAGATTTAAGAGATATTGTTTGGATTTTAGAGCTTTCTATTATGGATTGTGACATTATAGGCAAGTGAGCCACTGGCTCTAGGGATATTAAACAAAAAGACAAAAAGAGGCATCCCTGTTGGATACCATTAGTTATCTTGAAAGGCTTAGAAATAATTCTGCCTTAGATATTTTAGTAAAGGGGCTTGAATAAAGGACAGTTATTTCTGTGATTAACTGTTTGTGAATGCCAAATATGAATAATGTTTCATTTATGTGAGACCAATTCAGCTGATCAAATGATTTTAAGAATCTAAAGACATTATCATAAATGTCTCGGAGGAACAGAGGATATGAAGAAAATGTCCTAATTTCCTTTAGAGATATTCACTAAACTCTGAAATTTTCTCTTTTTAATTCTGAATATCAACCTAGGGTAAAAATATCTGATTTGGCAAAGTTCTTCAACTCAGCTATGGCCACAGCTTGGCTAGTTTTGCCACAGTTTCACAATTGAAAATTAGTAAATAACCCTACTTGTGCCTTCCAATTACATATTGCAATGTAAATGTCTATACTGCCTAACATTTCAGGAAGTGAATCTGAATGTGGAAGTGTAATTTACCCATGGTGATAATGAGTGGGGAGCCAGTGAGAGAGCACCAATGCCTTTGTTTAAATTAACTACTGTAGGGATATTTATGGGATAATAATAGTAAACAGTTGAGAATTGCCCACTAATTCAATTCTCAGATCCCAAAGAACGTTTATCGTGTTAAGTGGAATATATTTCATATAATTAATATCACAATGTATAAAAATAGATTTTTATTTATATGACAAATTAATAATAATATTATGCAACATGCATGACAATAATCAATGAATATTCAGTATAAAATGATATGCAATACAAAGAAATGGGTATTACGTTTCAATGGCTAAATAGCATTATCTGTCAAGACTTCTACGATTTATGACTAGCTTCCACAGACTGAAAGTGAAACTTTTCACACAGAGAACAGAATTCCTCAGAGTGCAGCATAAGGTCGTAAAGTTTAGCAGACAGTTAGAATAACCCTTTCAATGCTGGCTAGATCTCCTAGGTAGTTAAGATCTATTCTTATGTAATTTTTAAATAAAATAACATTTAAACCAGTTCACTAGTCATTTTCTTAAACCATCCAATAAGAGAATCTAACATTATATAAGCAGATTTTTAATTTGTCTAAAAGATATCTATCTTAATTTAGAGCAAATCAATACACCTGGATAAAAACAGCGGTATGCTAACACGTGATAATATCACATCAATATATAATTATTCTTAATTCCACCTGCAGAATGGAATGTTTATAACTATATATTCTTTAGTTAACTAAGATTTCTTAATATGGAAATCTGACCGTGCTTTATCCAGTCATATATAATGCTATTAATACATTTTAATTAATTTAATTTAATTAAATGTAACCAGTATAATTACCAGTTGAGTAGATATTTCATCCGATTGGTAGTCTCTCTGCATGGAGGTGTTGGTTAGAAAGTCAGTAAATTCTAAGTGTTAGAGTTTTAGGAGTAGAGTGTTAGTCTCAGATGTTGTCCGAGTTTGAGTCCCCAAACTTCCAATTCCTCTCTCCTCTCCTTTGCATATGTCCTGCATCTGCCTCTTCTTTCGTATCTTCTTTTTCTATCTTCCCTTTGTCTTAACTTTTAAAGGGCCAGACTCTCTGTACGTCATCAGTTGATAACCCAATAGAAGCACTAGAGGTGTGGTTATCTTCCAGATCGCAAATTAGTTATTTGGTCTGTAGAGGGCAGTCTTGTCCCACTAAACATACCTATCCAGGAAAGAGTTAACTTTTCCTGGTGGCTATTTTGACGTCATTTTGGCCTATCTAGATAGTGGCTATAACTTACGTATCCTTCAAAGATCAAAGGGTTCTTAAATTTTGTCCAGACTATGTGTCTGCAAATCTGAGTTTTTTTTCTGATATGGCAGATCATGAACTAAGTTTACCCTTTTCCATACAATGGTACCTTATATATATAGACAGTTAAATATTAAATTATTTAATCTTCTCTGTCACAATTGTCTGGGTTTAGATTTGATTATATTCAATTAGCATTAGACAGCCTGTCCAACCCCCTTCCTTATCACTTGGTTTGTATATACTATGCATTCCTTAGCTCTGGCCAGTCTTACAGAAAGAATTTTGTGTCTTTTTGTTAACTTGAAATAACAAAATGGAGTCTGGTCTGTTCAGAGTGACTCAGAATATACACTTTTAGTTTCTATCCTAGCACAAAATGTCTGCCGATATAAATACTCTGACATAACCCCCCTTTAGTGCATTTCATAGCCAAAATTAATTTAGCTTATGAATAAGCACTATAGAAGTTACTAGACATATTGTGCAATCACATCATTTCTAACATAGTACATTATGGAATGAACATTTTTGTATATATTTGTACCTGTAAGAGTTTTAACTTTACACTTAGTACAATCAACCATAATATTATTATTATCATAGTACATTGTTTTCATTTGAAAAATGTCTTTGGGAGTTACATATGGTATGGTCAATAAAAAGCAAATCTCCATACGTTCCGGATTAATTAAGAGAGGTATAGCGCTCCCCATCTCAAAGGCCAGATTTAATTGCATAGGCTCAATTGTTTCTCCATCCACATTGGCAAACATCGCATGAACAATATCCTTGGATACAAAATACAGAGGTATGCGTCCCCCTGCCAATTCGATCATTCCAGTTTGCACTTCGTCGAGAAAAGCAAGTGTGTGGAACAATATTGGGTCATGCAGAAATAGAAGTTCACGCTTAAATAAGTCATGACTTTGGTGCAACTCAGTGGATTTGGCAATTAACTCCGAATGCAAATTTGTTGTAACAACTGTGTCTTCCACAATAGTTAACACGTCTTGGAGAAGTGTTCTTTGCTGGTTTATCACCTGATGAATATCGTTAATGTGTTGCTTTAGCGCATAGATTTCCATATCCAGCTTTTGGACAGTAATAGAGTTGGCTGCAGACATTCCAGTTGCGACAACTGCACCGACAGTGGCACAAACTAATGCAACAATTATAGCGGTGAGGAACCTTTTGGGTCGGTTGCTCATCGGAATAGAACTGGATACAAATGGTTTCCGGGCTTGCTCCAAGATATTTCGCACATGGTCCTGTGCTCTTTGGAGGTGCATCTGGTACCAAGTCTGTAACTCAGGAAGCTGCATCGATGAAATGTTGTATGCCTTCTTGATGGAAATCTTGGGGTCCAAGCTGACGAACACACGTCGGGTCAGGATCCTCTTCTCTGTCAAGATGAACCCTGGTGTCTCTTGAATCAGGATGCCGGAGGATGGTCCCATCTCTGCGATCGGGTCGGTCCGTAGCTCTTGGCACAGGAGCAGTACGATCCAGAAACACGCCACATCCTTCTTGGACATCTTTCGACAGTCACGGATCAGGAACTCGTTTCAGACTTATCTACTAATGATTCAAGGTTTGTTAAGCATACAAACTTATAACAGTGTGACATCACTTGGCCTAGGTCAACACATTTTTACGATTCATCACATATGTATTCTGTCTAATTCTATTTTTATAACTTCATCTCTCACTACATTTATTACTGACTCTTCAGTAATTTGCCTATAGCAGTTAAACAAGCTAGTAACCTGCTTAGAAAATGTAGTTATTGGATGGCAAGGAAATGGTTAATGACATGAATGTACATGAGATCATGGCACATCACAACAATTCACATCATACGATACCACGTGAATCAAGCATTCATCCAGGTTAGTCGTTCACCCTTCTGCGTCTGAATCCACACCTATAATCCTTAATTGAGATTTAGGATGACAAGCACGCAACTGGTTAATGTGAACCCACTTTTCAATAAAATCACCATCCTTAGGAATTTTTATCTTGTACGCTACTGGGGAAATTTTGTCAATGATGACATATGGCCCTTTCCAAGAAGGTAAAAATTTATTTTCCTTAACTTGATTTCGCGCAAAGTTATACAGATAGACTTGATCTGTGATCTCATATTCCTTTTTCATGGTTTTTAGATCGTAATAAGTCTTAACCCCTGTCGCTGCTTTTTCTAGATTCTTTTGGGCAAAAGCAAACGCATGCTGTAAATGCTTGCGCAAATCTTCGATATACTGATGCGTAGTGGCAGCATTGATCAAATTATGATCTGAAGTACGGTATAGTAAATGCTGTGGTAAAACCATCTTTCTTCCTGTCATCAATTCAAAAGGTGACAATTTGGTAGCAGTGCTAGGTGTGGCTCTAATCGCCATTAAAACTAGGGGCAATTTAATGTCCCAGTCTTTACCAGACTCCTTAACATATTTCTTCAGAATATTAACGATAGACTGGTTATATCGCTCTACCCCCCCGCTAGACGCAGCGCGGTATGCAATATGTAGCTTTCGTTTAACACCTAGAATGTTCCACATCTTAGCCATTACTTCGCTGGTAAATGACTACCTCTGTCTGACTCAATTCTTTGAGGCAGACCGAACCTGGAAAAGACATGGTTAATCAACAAAGTGGCGCACACGGTACTCGTGTTCTCTTTACAAGGCAAACATTCTATCCACTTTGTGTACATACATATAACGGTTAACATGTATTTGTTACCTCTTGAAGATCTTGTTACAGGACCTATAAAGTCAATTTGAATATCAGACCAGGGTAATGACACCCCCTCTTCTGAAGTGGTGCACGATGGGTTGGACCATGGGGTTGATATTGCGGACAAATCAAGCATCCCTGACAGTATGTCTTAACATCCCTTAACATGTGTGGCCAATATGCATAATCACGCGATATCTCATATGTGATCTTATCACCACGATGCCCAGATGTAGGTGCATCATGTGCGTGTTGGAGCATTAACCCTCTGTATACAGTTGGGACTACCCATTGTTGTATACCATGTTTAGAAGTTCTGACCAGTAACCCATCCATGATACTAAATTGGACTTTATATCTCATCAAGATTCATAAATCTTCATTATTTTTGCAATCCTCATCTGTGATGGGATTGGCAGTAGGGTCTTCTATATGTCTATAGAATATGCCTATGACGGGATCATTCTTTTGACTAGTAATCAGGTCCTCACTAGGAGCTTCTTGACTCCATTGCACGACATTTAAGTCGGCATTATCTCTAGCCTGTCGTCTTGTTATGGCTTCAACATGAATTGAACCCATAAGATCATCAATGTTTAGGATTTCACCATCGATGGCAGCTTGTTTTGCCAGTGAATCGGCTAAGTCATTACCATCCTTGTCAATACCTTCTATTTTAGAATGGCCTTTGGTTTTCTTCCAATATATGGTTAAACCATTTTCCTTAACCAACTCATCGATTTTACAAAACAATTTCCCATGTTTAACAGGTTTGTTATTGCTTTTCAGCATTTGGTTACGTTTCCAGCTAGGCAGATATTCGATGAAACTGTTGCGAACATAGTTGGAATCAGTTATAATAACAAATTCTTTGATACTATATTCTATTGCCATTTGAATGGTCTTATATACTGCACAGAGTTCGGCTATCTGACTGCTTTTGGGACCAATATTGTATCCTATAGATACATTGGGATAATCACCTGTCCAGGCGATTCCGATACCTGCAACTAACTTCCGCTCAGCACCAACGACGTGGTGATATGAACAACCATCAATGTATACCCACGGTAGTGGTCGACAGTATCCCTCGTCATAAACTTTATAAGGAGATAGCAATTGCTCTTCTAGGAAGTCATCTCCGGTGTCATTATCATCCAGAGATGGAGCAGTACAGTCATGTAATTCTGCTAAACCTTGGGCAACTGGGCTTCTCTTATTATGTTTATAACGGACTTCTAACGGCCATCCCTGTAAGGATAGAGTCCATGCAGTAATCCGACTGTTAGAGAGATTACCGTCTCTAATTCTTTCACTCTGCAGATACTGTAGAGGTTGGTGAGCTGTTTCTACAATTATTTTCTCACCTTGAATATAGCTACGAAAATTTTGTAGTGCCCAGACAGTCGACAATAACGCTTTCTCACACGTGTTGAATTTAACTTCAACAGGTGACAAAGTCTTGCTAGCATATGCAATAACTTTGTTTAAACTATCCTGCTTCTGATACAGAACAGCACTAATGCTTAAATCGGTATATCCTGTCTCCAGATAGAAAGGTTTACCCCCCTCTGGGTATGCTAAACAATGTGCCTGAGTGAGCTTCCTCCTCAGTTCACTTACCGCTTGGTCCTGAGGCTCCCCCCAGTTCCAGGTAGTTTCCTTTTTAAGCAGGTGTAAGAGTGGTTTTGTTATTTCTGCATAGTTATCTATAAACTTACGGGAGTAGTTAGTCATACCAAGGAACGATCTTAATTCCCTGATGTTTGAAGGTGTTTTAGCCTTTAGTACGGCTTCAACCTTCTTCCTCTGGGGATTTAATCCTTCAGAAGTTACCTCATGTCCGAGGAAATTGACATGGGTGCGACACCATTGTGCCTTTTGTAAAGACAGTTTAATCCCTGCCTCTCTTAACTGCGTGAGAACATGTCTAATTTCTAAGATATGTTTATCAAAGGAAGTGCTTTTCAGCAAGACATCGTCGACATATGATAACGTTCCTCTCTCGAGTGCGTCAGGCATAGCTTTATGCATGAACACAGCGAATTCATGACCAGAGTTTATATAACCGAAAGGCATACGGGTCCAGGTATACTGCTGCTTTCCAAATGTGAAGGCCAATTTGTATTGGTCTTCATTATGGACTGGTACAGTCCAATATCCCTGCGCACAGTCAATGGCAGTGAATATTTTGGATCCCTGCATTTGTACCAAACATTGGTCTATGTATGGCGTTGGCCAACCAGACATATAGACGCGTTTATTTAGCTGTCGTAAGTCAGCGCATAAACGCCATTGTCCATTAGGTTTCAGAATCCCCAAGATCTGGATTATTATACGAACTGTGCACTGGACGTATAATGCCCCTTTCCTTTAAATTCTGAATGATGTCTTGTAGACCATCATATGACGCTAATGGGAGTCTATATTGTTTGATAAATACAGGTGGCAAATTTGGATCAGTTTGTATTCTGGCTACGTGGAGGTTAGTTAACCCACAGTCGTAGGAATCTTTGGCGAAAATATCTTGGAATTCCAAAAGGATTTCCTTTAGCTGTTGCCGGTCAGCATCGTTGGAGCAACCGTCAGCTAAAGATATTTGCTCTTCTAGCCTTTCCTGAAATCCTGGAAAGATTTCAGGCTGGCCTATCTCATAAGCTTCTTCAAGCCTAGAAGTTAGGTCAGTTCGGTGTTGACTTACCTTTTCTCTTTGGTCGAGATACTCTTGTGATTCCTGCTCATTGAGCGGATGATCGAAGGTGATAGATGCTTCTTCGATTTTACACGAGCCTTCTTCGACGTTGAAGGGATATACAGATAGGATAGTGAATAATCCTTCTGGGGAGGAATGGAATATTTGATCGACAATTTCGTCCTCAGTTAAGTATTCTTCAGGGATGAGGCCTATAATTTGGTTTTGGAAACCAAATGTATAGTACTCAGCATCCAATGCTAGACCTAATAATGTTCCTTTTGGTAAAGTAACACTATTGGGTGTAACATTGTTGACCATGATATAGGTGGGATTCTTACCAATACTTACCATTGGTGTATGTGTTACCACCATCCCTAATTGTTGTATCTTGTTAGATAAACAGATTAGGGCATCAGAGTTTTCTAATCTCTGACCCTCCTTGACCTGTAGGGGTAAAAGAAAATTACTTGTCCCCTGTGGAATGGTTATGTCATCAGGAACTTGGATACTTACCGCATATGGGAGTATTTGTCCTGATTTCAGGGCGTTTTCCTCGTGAAGGTATCCACAAGGATTACCTTTTAACCTTGTCCACAAATTGGAATTAATCAGATCAAGGTGTATGGCAAAGCGATGTATGACATCATTGCCAACGTAAACCTGATAGCGAGGTTCGTCTATCACTAGGAATAAATGTTTAACTGTCTTATTTCCGATGGAAATAGATAGTAAACATTTTGCTATCACATTGTGACTCTCTGATTCGCCATCCAGATTCTGGATCCACCTGTCATGTGGGGAAGTGTACCTGATCATTTTAGGATTAGCGATCTGCCTTAACAGACTTCTGCTAATATAGCTGTTCTCACTCTGTAAGTCCAGCTTTGCATTCCTACTTCTTCCTAAGTCATATATTTGCATAGGAAAGAATAAATTGTTATTAACCCTTTCAATTCTGGCAAGGAATTGAGCATGACCTGCCAGATCTACAGATTCAACATAGTCCCTGTGGAGAGAAATGGTTAAAACATCACCTTCAAGAGAGACATTCTGGATCCTCTCTGGAGCAATTCTTACGGAATGCTCATCTACAGGTGCAATTGCATCATTCACCTGCAGGATAGTCACGTCAGGTGACTGACTATTTCTAAAATGTACCTCTATCGAGTCAGGTCTTTCTTCTATCACATGGCAGTTACGATCAGATTGTACATGTGATCTCTCATAGGTTATGGGAACCTTAGCTTGTGACCATACAATTCCATTCACACAGTCAATTATTGTGTTAAGTCTTCTGAGTATGTCTATACCCAGAATCAGTCGGTCATAGGGGAGATCTACCACTATCACCGGGTGTCTAAAGGTTTTGTTACCTATTTTAAATTTTAACCAGGTATTGCCAATAATATGAAGGGCATTTCCTCCTACACTCAACAGAGCATTGGGGAAATCTCTTAGCTTCGGCTTATCCGCTGCTAAGTCCATTACCTGCTGGAAGTAGGTATTGGATAAGATAGTGGCTTGTGAACCAGTATCTATTAACCCTTTAAAAGGCTGGGGTAGCGAATCCTGTATTTCTACAGACATGTAGTACCTTCCTTCATGTTCTTCTAATTCACATAAGAATTTAGAATGTGTCAACATATTACTTGTTTTCCATATATTACCGGTCACAGCAGTAGTTTCTACCTGTACTGAGGAATGCTCAGTCTTACCCACAGGCCCATCCTTTTTAGGAATAACTTGAACTGTCAAGTGGGAACTAGTGGTCGGCATCTCATCAGTTAACCCTTTCAGGTCTGGATCCCGGAAACTAGTGGTTGCTGGGGCTACTTTAGCCTTTGGCTGAAATGAAAAAACAGAGGAACACGTTGCGCCTCCTTCACCCGAAAGTGAAGTGACGGGATAGGCAATAGGTTTTCTAACACAACTATTGTTTGTTTGACTGTTAGTACCTGGAAAGGAAACAGGGTTAGGTATTACATCTACTGATAACCTAGCCTGTTTAGTCACAGTGGCTATTATTGCTGCGGCGCCTGTTGTTGTTGCTGCGGTTGCACAGGTAGTTCTGCAATTGGAGCTATCCCTAAAAAAGGATTTGTGGCAAAGACTTGGTTAATCTTTGTCATTCCCTCCATTAATTTGCCCATCTGGTCTGTCAATTGACCAACCTGACGACGCAAATTATTTCCCCCATTGCCGTTTTGTCTTTGCCCATTAGAATTTGGCTGGGATGGCTGAGACTGTTGGGAGTTATTGGAAGCAGATTGGTTGTTTCTGTTTCCATATCTCCTATTTCCCTGAGGATTCCTTCTCCATTGGGAATTGCCTTGGTTCTTATTAACCCAGGGGCGTTTATTCCCATTGGCATTGGATTTTTCAGAGTTATTAGAGGAATTTGCAGAATTGCTTCCTGCGTTTTCCTGTTTCTGAGGTTTTGGTGTTTTCAAAACCTCGGAATAGGTCCTCTTTTTCTGTTGGGTTTCTAAACCTAACTGAATTTTAGTCTCTGACACCATTTTATCACCAGGTTTCTTAACCTTTGGCTGATTTTCGTCATGTGCATGGTGTATAGTATACAATTTCATGCACTGACTGACTAGCCATTCTAATGGTAACTTACAATCGTAATCTCTTGCGAGGTTCATTTGTATGTTTACTGGCATGGCATGAAAATACAGATCTTTGAAGTCTGTGCTTTCATACCTGGGTTTTCTTTGGGCCACGGAGTATGCATTTTTAAGAATTATTAAAAATTCTCTGGGGCTTTGATCTGGACGGCACTTTAAGTTATAAAGCGCCTTCTTTGCAGAGGCAATAGTTTTATACTTACCATATTCCATGATTATTTCATATTTCATCTTGGACCAGGACATTAACTGTATAGCTTGAAGACTTTCTAGATA